CAGATTCTCCAGCATCTGCAGTTCCTGCTATCTCTAAAACAGAAATCCCCTTTTTGCATGTATCTAGAATTTCTACTGAAGTTATTGTGGTCAGTAAGAAAAACAACAAGAACATTTCCTACATAAATATATAATGTATATAAATCCTTCACTGTTCATTTTCAGTGTCTTAATTAAGGATTTACTTTTTTTTTCCCCACAAAATATATGACCATCACTTATGCATGTTAAATTGCCCTTCCACCCATCCATTTGATTAACTTATGTCTTCCTTAAGTCTTTTACAATTTTCCTCACAGTATGTGTAATCACTTTTTTTGTGCCAGTAACAAATTTAAAAATTCTGCTCTTTATGCCAAAATTTACACAGTAAATAACTACTAAGAGTAAACAGCTGAAGTTTTGATGATCCATCTCTGATCTGAGCAATACCCATTTACTGTAACCCTTTGATACTTGTCCATTGACTAACTTTCTTTCTGTGTTGCAGCAGAAAAGATTGTTTTAGTAAGGAAGTCTGTTGAACATGAGAGTCTGTATGTAACACATCTATTTTGTCTGCTTATTCCCTTTCTCAAAGAGAAATTTTTAAATGTGCCCAACATAACTTGCTGGACGTCTTTGATTTATCAATGCATTTCATAGGCACACCATGTTTATCTTCAATTTTGGATTCTAAGCTAACAATGTATAATTGACTGATTTCAAGTGGTCTGTATCACATTTTAATTTCTGTGTAATGTTCTCAGATGTATTACTCAAGTTAGTATTTTTTATCATCAACCCATCAACCACTACTCTTCTCCTCTTGGTCGAGCTCATTCTCACCCTGAACAACTTTTCTTTTAACTACTCTCACTTTCTTCAGGTAAAGGGGTGGCCATGGGTACCCATATTGGCCTCAGTTATGCATGTTTCATTGTGGGGTACCTTCCTTGTTTCAGTCCTACTCTGACCCCACCTACAACTCTTTCTCTGGTGTATCAATGAGATCATCGGTGCTGTTTCCCTCTCTCTCATCTGGAATTGGAAAAGTTTATCTTTTGTTTTTTGCTTTCAATGTCCACCCCACTTTCTCCTTCACTAGTCCACCTCTGGTTCCGCCCTTCCCTTCCTCGACATCTGTTTCCATTTCTGGTGATAGGCTGGCCATCAGATCCACTACAAAACCACCAACTCCCACAGTTACCTTGATCACACATCCTCACTCCCTGCTTCTTGTAAAGACTACTCCATTCTCCCAGTTCCTGCATCTCCGTCACATCTGTTCTGATGATGCCAACTTCATCAAGGGACTTCTGAAATGTCCACCTTCTTCCTCAACCAAGGATTCCCCAGCAACATAGTTTACAGGGCCTTCAGCCAGGTCTGGCTCATCTCCTGCACGTTGGCCCTCATCCCCTCTCTTCCCTACCACAACAGCAATAGGACTTCTTGTCCTAGCCTAACAGCGCACCAGCATCCACATCCAGAAGATCATTACCTGCCATTTTCACCACTTCCAGCAGGATGCCACCACAGATACATATTCCCCTCCCCTCCCCTCCCCTCCTTTGTCAGCATTCAGCAAGGATCGTTCCCTCCAGGATACCATGGTTTCCCCCTGCTCCAAAGTACATACAGACAGACACACACACACACAAACACACATGCACCCCCCACCCAATGGCACTTTCTCCTGCAATTGCAGAAGGTGTAACACCTGCCCGTTTATTTCCTCCCTCCTCACTATCCAAGGCCCTAAGCACACCTCACAGATAAGGCAGCACTGTACCTGCACTTCAGTCAATCTAGTCTACTCTATTGGCTGCTCACGGTGTAGTCTTCTTCTCTAAATTGGGGAAGCAAAGTGCAGACTGGATGACCACTTTGCAGAAGATCCATTTTCTGTCCACAAATCAAGACCCTGCACTTCCAATTGCTTGCCACTTCAATACACCACCATGTTCTCTGGCCAACATCTGTCTCAGGCTTACTGCAGTGTTCCAGCAAAGCTCAGTGCAAGCTAGAAGAACAGCACCTCATTTTCTACTTGGGAACCCTGCAGCCTTCTGGACTTAATATTGAGTTCAACAATTTTAGGGCTTGAGGACCTTTCTCCATGCTTTCCCCCACCCCCCACACTAGGCCTTGTCATCACATGGGCTGCTACCACACACTATGCATTGTCAGCTACTATTAGCAGCTATTTATTCCCCCAGAGTGACCTTTAACTACTCCTTTGGCTATCCAACTGTGTTTCTCTCTGAGGTCTGTCTCCACCTTTCATTTACTCTTTTCTCCTCACCCATCTTCTGTATAAAAACCATCCTTTTCCAAGCTACCATCAGTTCTGAAGAAGGGTCACTGGACCCAAAACATTAATTCTGATTTCTCCCCACAGATGCTGTCAGACCTGCATCAATTTCTGTTTTTGTTGAAGTATTTTTGATTTTTAAAAGGGCATGAATTAAAGTTGGATTTTCTGTGCTGACAGGCATGTCTGACTTTGGAAATCTGTTTATTGTCTTGTAACCATGCATGGAATTCTAATGCTGACTTTGTATTTTCTTAGATAATCAGCACCATGGAACCTCAGGTGTCAAATGGCCCTTCATCAAACACTCCGAATGGCCCATCAAGCAACAATAGAAACTGTCCATCACCTATGCAGACAGGTGCTCCTACAGATGACAGTAAAACCAACCTCATAGTCAACTATCTTCCCCAAAACATGACACAAGAAGAATTCAGGAGTTTGTTTGGGAGCATCGGTGAAATAGAATCATGCAAACTTGTTCGAGATAAAATTACAGGTTAGTTTGGGCCTGAAATAGGAAATAAACTGTAATTTAGCAATTCTGTTCAGGCAGATCCAAGCAAAATTTTTAATTTAAGCTTTAAAATTCTGTACGATGAGATTATGTAGCTTTAATATTATTTGTGTTTTAACATGTAAATCAAAATGCCTTGTATTTTCTCAGGGTCCCCCAGTCTCCGACTGTGTATGATAGAAGTTAAATTAATGGTATTACTAGCCATTTTCACCTATTTACATAACATAACAGAAGATACCATTTGTTTCCCTCAAGAAAACCCATGTCAAAATAACAGGCACAAATGTTAGGTACTGTAATCTCTCAATATATAATGTGACTGCTGCAATGATGAAACTTCAAATATTATAATATCATTTTCATTCTTAATGGCAGCAGAGAAGCAGCAATATAGGTCAATTGCCCACTATATACTTTTCTAATCTTCCTTTCCCCAAAGTCACTGAAAAGGAAAACCATGCCAAAAAAAAACCCAGATGACTGATTCATTACTGGTAATATTCAGGCTCCATGAAAGGTGGAGCTTGCCCCAGTTAGTTCTGGAATTGGATTTTTATATTTTTGCACATTTTAGGGGTGTATTTTTGATGCAATCGAGATGCAATGCAGCTACTGACTAGACAGCTGGCAAGAGACCGGAATTGTCCCCTTTCGCTCGCATCTCGGTGGATCTTCACCAATCAGGCAGTTAATATTCTACTGGCAGGTGTTCCATAGAATCAGGACCAACTGAGCATAAGCCTCACCCTCCAATGGCAACCGGAAGATCAGAGCTTGACAGCTCTTTTGCACCGTCCCAGGGTGGAGAAAAGGAATGACTGTAGGGATTTTGCTGGGTGAGGGTTATATTGGTAGAGAAGTATAGGGAGTTGGCTGTCAGCAGCTGCCCACTTCCCAACGCCAGATCCTTCTATCAGGTACAGGGTGCCTTTGAACAAGGAACACTCCCATCCTCCAACCCCACAAAACTGTAAGCAATATGCATCGATTTGCTTGTTGTGCTGTCTGCAAAGCAAACTCACTCGCATGCCTTGACTTATTACCAGTGACAGTGGGTTGAGGCCCATTAATGGGCATTAGAACTTAAGAGCTTTACCTGGACGTGATACAGGAAGGTTGTCCATTGTCTTCCTTGCTACAAACTCAATCAGGGTGCAGAGAGGAAGATTGATAGCCCCTACCCAGCATCCTGCTGCCTGATTACCTGGCTTGCCCCATCTCCACTTCCATCTCCCATTGAGTAGTGCAGAAAATTTGCTCTGTAAATTATCATCCATGTACTTCAATCTCCATTCCCATCTGCTTGCACAAGGAATGTTCTTGTAAATCCCTGGTGGAAATTTAGAAAACTCCTCATCTTCCTTTGGGCAACAAGGTGCTAATACAACATGAGATATTACCATCCAACAAGGAATACAATAATTGTTCCATCAAGCCATAAATCATGTATATTCTTCTTCTTCATGCATTTAATCTACTGAATAATCATTGTGTAAATGTTCTTGATCTCCAAAGGAAATAAAGTAAGATCACAGAATATCACCCTTTCATGTATAGTCCTTTGGCCAATCGTCCATTATTTTGTCATTCGACCTGGCAGAAGGACAACCAGAAAACATTAGACTTTTCAGGAGCTCTTCATTATTCTGTGCACATTATTATGGTTCTGTACTCATTTGGCTTGCCTTTTATGAGGCACAAGCTGTAGTATTTTTTCCCCAATATTCTAAAACTTTCTGCAGACAAATTTGGATCAAAAGCACAGCTAGAGGTGGCACTATAGAAGTAGGACGTATAGTGTCGCATTTCTTCTGCCTTGACCTGTATGGTGCCCCACACTAGACAGGACACTCATGTATGAATATGAATTCACCTTTTAATGTGCCAGAAACCACTGACTGGTACTGTCATGACATCAGCTATAATCACTCTGCCACTGGGTTTACCAACTTGGACCATACAGGTCCACTTAATGTATTCGCTTGTCACACAAAATATGTTCAACTGGAAGAGGGGCCCAGCACCAGTGTCACTTAAAGGGCTTGATGCATGCAGGTAAGAAAAGGTAGAGTAACTTCTGCTGCAGTATTTGGAAGTACTAAGACATGTTTTTGGGGGTTTTGTGATATGTTCCTGGATTTTCCTAGCACCACATGACTGATGGCAAGATGTCTGGCAGAATCAGGTGAAAAGTATCACATCAAATTCATCCTGTCCTAATTTTTATTCATTTCACAAAAGCAACGTGGCAACATTCTCCTTAAGTAACACTGAAATGTTAATCAATTGTCAATGATTAAGTGGCTTGTTGATGTCACAACTCACCTCATTTAATATTCACACTTCCATTTTACCAAACTTGTCAAATGACCTAGTCAAATTTTTTCCTGTTAGATCCTTGAAGACCAGCTGAACATACTCCATCTCCACGGATCTGTACATGCATCTGTCATCTACTGACCTATCACAACCATTTTGCACTTTTTCTGTGTGCTGTGGAAGCACAGACTTGCATTGCAGGGTGCACTAACTACTTACATTGAGAGGCTGCCGCAGGAACGTTTCATGCACGGGGCAGGCACCTTGTTGAGGATACACATTATCTGGGTTCAAGGTTCTCTGTCCCACTGTCATCATGTCTTCAGTCCTGGGGACCATTGGCTGGGGCAATTAGAGTGCAGGTGTGTGCGTGTCTGTCAGCTCTTGAGGGTGCTGGGCATGAATCTCCATGGCAGCCACCAACTTGTCCGTTGAGGCAACCAGATGGTTGCATGACTTCCTGCAGTCCTGTATTTTCTGAGCAATGAGGACCATTGCATCACATATGTCTGTTTGTCACTGCTGCTCCTCCTTGTGTATTTGGGTGAAATCCTTAATTGCCATATCCAGAAGGTCACCTCCTGCCTGGGGCTGAGCAGGTGGTAGTCTCTGGCAGTCCTGAGTGGCAGCTGTGTAGGCCTTTTCTTCCTTAGCCAGCTGCAGAGCTGTCGTGGCAAGGTGAACACCAGATTGCAAGCCTATACTTACTTTCTATGCCTACAGTTCCTATTGCATCTGGGCCTTCTCCTGTGAGGACCATGATTCTGTCCTCAGAGTTCAGGACAAGGATGCCAGGCAACCACTGCCACCACCTCCCTGGAATAAAAACTCATGCAGGCTCTCTCAGCGCTGTTATGGGCTGTCTTCCCCTCTAATAAGGAGGTGGCGGGATAATGAGTGAGATGAGTTGTTGGCACAGCTGTTTGACCTGATGCATGTTGGGGATGGGTGGTGAGGTGTTCTGAAGGACCGAGGAAGCAGTGCCGAGGGCATGCTGGGCTAGTGCTGTGGGAGACTTAGGGTGAAAGCAACTGAGGGAATGTGTTGCAGGCAACAGTGAGTGTGGTGGGGCATGAGCCTTGGTGGGAGATAGGTGCAGTAGCAGAGATAGCGTCTGAGGTGGCAGAGAGAAGTGTGCCACTCACCCTGGAGAAGGCACTGTACTTGGTGGTAACCTCAGACCAGGCTGGCAGGGTCTGGTGGCGTAGCCACTTCTACCAGTCCTCTGGGAAAAAGACTCTTCTCCTTTGCACCATTTGTCATCTTCTAGGACCTCCAGGTCTCTAACAGAAATGCAGTGCCGTCTGCTCTTTCTCTGCTATATTCTGATTTTGTCCGTCAAAGAGCAAGGCAGCTTTGGAATTCTAGTCAAAAACCGAAACAACTGCAGATGTTGGAAATCAGAAACAAAAGCGCAAACTTAAAATGCTGGAAAACCTCAGTAGGTCCAGCAGCATCTGTGGAGAGAAATTAGACGATGTTCCGGATCCATTGACTTTCTGTTCTGAAGAAGGGTCACTGGACCTGAAACATTAACTCAGATTTCTCTCCAAAGATGTTGCCAGACCTGCTGAATTTTTCCAAGCAATATTTGTTTTCTTATTGTGTTTGGAATGATAATGCTTTTCTAGATGCTCTGTACCATTTTAAAGATATTGTCGTTGCAAGCAATGCTGGTCTTAGGGCAAGTATCCACAGAGTGGCGAAGTGTTACAGGTATAGCGGATGATAAATTTGGGTGTCAACCAGACTTGAGGGATGCCATAGGGATGGGCTAAGTGATTAATGAAGCAAGTTTGATAAGAGGAGGTGGAAAAACTCTCTAGGCCTTATGGCAAAAAAGACTTGATGTAACTTGAACAACCAAGAAAATGTAAGATTGAGCCTTCAGTGTCTGAAAGCAGGAATTATAAAGTGGAAGTTTGCAGTGAAGGAAGAGCTTAATGGGTTGAAAGTCAAGAAAACCATACTAATACCTGCAACCTGCTCATCATGCCAGATAAGATAAGGGCGAGTGTTTTATTTAAACAGAAACAAAAGGTACAATTTAGCCATGACCACACATCAGGCATGTCCTTGGAGTGGTTCATGATCTAAGAATTTGTATAGTATACGCTTGTGTATAGTCCCCTTTTAGTTTGCAAGCCTTTCAATTTTAAAAGAACCAGCTGCACACATGTTTATGCTTTAAACATAATAAATGGTCAGTTCATTACCTTAACTAGTTCTACAAGCTATCTCATTAGGAAAAAAATAGCTAAAACACAAATATAGAAAATGTACACACATTTAAAGTAAATAAGGGCATATGAAGATAAAAAATGAGATCAGTCACGGATATTGTTGCAGATCAGTCATGCTTGAAAATTCTCTTTCTGAAATAAAGTGGTGAAACCTTGAAGTCAGATTAAGCAGCTGCAATGGCATCTCTAGGCGAGAATTTGGATGTTGTTCCCATTAGTGGACTGAACAGAACAGGTCCTAGGAATGAGTGATTCCTCCTTTGCTTTACATTTACGATCCTGCAGGTCCTAGCTCTTGGTAGCCTGGTTTGGTAGAGCAGACCTTTTCTGATGAAGGGTCTAGGCCCGAAACGTCAGCCTCCCTGCTCCTATGATGCTGCTTGGCCTGCTGTGTTCATCCAGCCCTGCACCTTGTTG